CCAGTTATCTCTTTGTAACCCTGTGGGATTAGGTACACTTGTTTGCTGGGCTGACATCCTGTTTACAAGTTTTAAAGCTTAAGGAGGGTAGAAGGAAGAGGCGAAGAGGGAGTTCCTTTTTTTTCCCCAGCTCTACAATCTGAGGTCTTTGGGCCACAAATCTTCAAAGCTGTGGTTTATATTTAAATAATAATAACTATAATAGAGCCACTAAAAACATTGGTTTGTCTTCCTCCCGGCACAGAGCGTAGAGGTGTTAATTATGCAGAAATTCCTTAAAAAGCCAGACAAATGCCAATTAAAGGTCAATACAGAAATGGGGGAGGGGTTGCGTTTGAGCTTTGAATCCTCCACTACCATAGAGGCAAAGCTGTGTATCGAGAAAAGACAGTAAATCTACTATCTGTGCATTTCTTCCTTCAATAGAGCAGTAGGAAGTATGGTTGTTTCCTCCTTTACTTTTTTTTTCTTTCTTGAACCCAGTGTTTTTGTGCATGCATGCTAGGCAAGGGCTCTATCACTATCACATCCTCCCTGCTTTTATTTATTGTTGATTACTTCCCCACACAAAACTACAACCCCTGCTCTATCCGTCCCATTCTTGTCAAGGGCGATTAGGCCACGTTCAAGCGGGATGAGAACTTTCTTACCCTGCTTTGCCCATTTATTAATATTACTTAAAGCCACAGATAAATGTCAGGGGAGAAAGTAAGAACTGCAGAACAAAACCTAACATCACACATTCTCTTCTACTTGACCTACTATAGCTGAGCTATATTTTGTGGTTAACTTTTTTTCTCAAATTGTCCTCAAGTCCTCATTAATAGATTTAGGATAGACCGTTATATAGAAATGAATTAAAAATTCTTTAACATACAGAAACCATAGTATGTTTGTACACAGCTACTGAATTTAGCTCCTTATATTTTTATGAACCGCAGTGGTATAATCTGAAATTAGAACATTTCAGTCCCCGCGGCTCTCACACCAACATGAATCTGTCTCTGGCATTTTCAGCACAATCCATCGATAAGACATTGCGGAGTTCTTTACTTACCATGGTAAGGTCGACCACCTCTCAAAGCTTTGCTAGACTCCTGCGAACAGAAGACGATGCCAAAGGAGACAGGAACACCACCAAGTCACGTAGTGTAGACCCTGCGGTGTCCTTTCCCTTCTTAGTACACAACCTGATTATAATTCTATGGTCTACTCAGATTTAACCTTGTAGCGTGAACGGAAGCCTTTGATTTTTTTTTGTTGTTGTTTATTTACAGCAAAACAAAATCATTTGCAGTAATTTGACGCAAACAGATTTTGTACATTGTCACCATTCCTTTGAAACCATTTATTAATTGATTAGTCTATTTCTTGTGTTTAGAGGAAAAATTAAAACAGAAAAATTTCCCAAGCAAATGTCCATGGTCCCCAGCCGCCCTGCAACAAATCCTATAAACCCAGAGAGGGCAGCAGAGGGAGGCTGAAGCCTGTGCCGGATTATTTAAAGCTGCCATCCATCATTTGGGGCAATTCTCGGGAGGCGACCAAAGATGAAATCACGAATGCTAAATATTTTCCAAGAGGTGAAAATCCTCACACAGAGGCAGGAAATTCTTTTAGATGCTTCCGCTCTGTTTCCAGACCACCTGTGTCTTACCCTTTAAACTGGAAGCGGGGAAGTCGTGTGGGATCCGTGCAGGCTCCATTTCAGATTCCCAACCCAGTGCCCACAGAGCATGCACATTCCGTGAGGTGCCCCCGACTTGCAGGTTCGTTCCGACACACTCAGTAGTCAGTTTCCCCAAGCACAGGAGGGGGGTCTGCAGCCTGGTGCGAGAAGCTTCCCCGGAAGGCGCTGTCTCGGGGTGAAGTTCCGAGGGCGCTTAACATTTGAAAGGAGTGCGATCACTGTATTTACATTTAAATTAAAATGGAAACTTCTTATAGGTTATGTTTCTGAAAGGTATGTGTGGCGCATCTGCTGAGGTCTATTGTTTATTCACGCTGTAAATCCTTTGAAATGTGTTAAAATGCTTCCCACTCATTATAAAGCTCCTGCCACCCCTGGATTACGACTTTGATGTCACCAATCCTGCTTCAAAGGGTTCTTTCTGGGCTATTAATCACAGTTTAGCCTCTGAAGATATCGCCAGAGAAAACATTTAGACATCTTTATGCTAGACTTGCTAAAACTTTGAAATCTTGAACATCGTGCTTATGCACAAATTGCAGGGTTTCCCTCCATTGACGATTTTTATTTTGTGACACAGTCAAATGACACTATAGGTAAAAGTGCAAACAAATCTCTTCCCACACTTGGTCTGCAGACGGGAGAAGTCTCTCTGAGCCTTTACTCACACCGTGTAAAAATCTTCTGCATCATTTTTTGTTTTCACTTTTTTTTTTTTTTTTACTAATTAGTACTCTCGAGAAGAACTGGTGAGGTGTCCTGATATTCTCTGGCCTTTCATTCTCTGCTTTGAGACCTATGTGAATTGTTCACAGCAAATAATAATAATAATATACACATACTAATAATTGTCTAAGATACGTGAACCCAGAAGTGTTTCTGATCTGGTATTGGAGGGGAGCAATTTGGGAATATTTGCATAAGCGCAGTGAAATATCTTGGAGACAAGACCCAACTCTAAATACAGAATTAATTTGTTTCATATACATTTTATACAAATAGCGCAAGGTAATCTTATACTACATGTACACCCACTCATATAGGTGTATATGTATTATATATAGGTGTGTATTTTAAAACATACTTATATCTCATGTAAATAGTCTGAAGGTAATTTTATACTCTGTAAATATTCACACAAATGTATGTGCATACATATACACACAAACATATACATATATGTATATCTTATACAAATGGCCTGAAGGTAATTTTATTTTACATGCACACATACATGGTTATATGTAGTACAGGAACATAAGTAAACAAATATCTCCTCAAGATCCTGGTTATTCTTTTATTCTTTTAGATAAATACTTAGAATGGGATTGCTGGATGATCTGGTGGATTAATTATTAACTTTTGAAAAACTGTCATTCTATGATTTCCATAACTGTGCCATTTTATATGTCTACTAACAATGTATAAGTTGCAATTCACTTCAATAAGTTTCAATTCACTTAATTTACTAGTTTTTCTTTAACTTGTAATTTTCTTTTTTAAAAATTTTTATGATGGCCACTCTAACTGGGACAGTGTGGTTTCCATGTTGATTTCCCTAACAATTAGTGATAATTAGTACATTTTCACACATCTGTTAGTCAGTTGCATGCCTTTTCTGGCAAGCCCTTGACCATATTTGAATTATTTGGTCTTTTGTTATTGAAGTGTAGGTATTCCTTGTATCTCCTGAATATTATCCCCTCATCAGAGGTGTGGTTTGCCAATATTTCCGCCCATCTATATGTTTTCTCTTCACTGTCGATGGCTGCTTGTGCTGAACACAAGCTAAGGTGCTTTTTGTTTTTGTTGCCTTGCTTTTGGTGTCATATCCAACAAATCATTACCACTTTGTTCTAGGAGTTTTGTAGTTTCAACTATTGGGTTAAAGACTTCAGTTCATTTTGAATCTCTTTTTGTCTGTAGTGTAAGATAAGGGTTCAGTTTAATTCTTCTCTATACAGATATTCACTTCCTCTTACGTAGTTTGGAGAAAAGATTCTTTTTGTTATTGCACAGTCTTGGCACCCTTGTTAGGTATCATTTGATCATATAATGATTATGTGGGTTTATTTTTCAGTACTCTGTTTCATTGGTCTGTGTGTCCATCTTTATGCCAGCACCATACTCTTTTGATTACTGTGGCTTTATACCGCATTTTGTGGAAGTCAAAAATTGTGAAACTTCTAGCTTTGTTCTTCAAGATTTTTAGGTTGTGCCAGGTCCTTTGTGGTATTGCATAAATTTTGGGATTTTTTTTCTATTTCTACAAAAAAAATGCTGCTGAGGTTTTGGTAGTGATTGTATTGAGTTTATAAGTCGCTTTGGGTATTATTAACTTTTTTTTCAACACTGGTGATTAAACTCAGAGCCTCACCGTGAGCTACATCCCCACCCCTTTTTATTTTTTGTTTTTGAGGCAGTCTCACTGAGTTACTTACGTTGTGCTTAAACTTTCAGTCCTCCTGTCTCAACCTCTCAGAGTGCTGCCAATAACAGACATGCGCCACCACGCCTGGCTTTGAGCCTTCTGTAATTACTTTCGGCAATGTCTCACAGTGGATTTTTTCTTTTGTTGTGCGTGGAAAACTTTTTCACCTCCTTGGTAACATTTATTCCTTACTATTGTATTCTTTTTTGTGTTTTTATAAATTGAATTATTTTCTTAATTTCTTTTATGGAGAGTTCATTGTTAATGCATAGTAATGTAACTGATTTTTGTGTGTTGACTTTCTGTTATTATATCCTTGCCAGTTTCATTTACTAGTTCTGACAATTTTTAGATGGACTCTTTAGTGTTTTCTATAGATGCATGTCATCTGTAAACAGAGATAATTTTACATCTTCCTTTCTGACTTGGATGATTTACATTTCTTTTTCTTGCCTAATTGCTCTAGCTAGGACTTCTGAGTATTTTTGTATTATGAAGTGTTAAATGTGACCATCCTTTGCCTTGTTCTTGAAATTAGAGGAAAAGCTTTCAGTTTTTTACATTGAGTATGGATATTAGCTGTCAGATTTTCATGTATAGCCTCTATCATATGGAAATAATTTATATTCCCAATTTGTTGCATCACTTTGATACTTTTTGTTATTTCTTTTTTTTTTTTGCTTGTGAAATATACAATTTGTTTTATAAATTATTTTTAATTACAATAAGTTGTGACTATAAATATTCAAACTTTTTTTCAAATTCACGTAGATTGTTCAGAAAATTTGGAAAATAACAAAAGACACCAAAGGAAAAATATTCATGATTTTATTCCTTGACTTTTCCTTCAATTTAAGTTTTTTGTCTCTTTTTGATCAGGCAATTTGGCTCAGACAAAAGCCAGGATATCAGCAGCCTCCAGATCTTTGCCTCCACATTTCAGTGCTGGGAGAGCCAAGGTGAGTAGATTTGCCCCAAAATGGTATGGGTGGGATGGGGGGGTTGTTGGTCCTGTAGTAGGGATAATGCTAGTGGACAGCTTTAGTTCCCTTTACCCACTGCCAGGCAGTGTTTAGAAAATCATGGGTGAGAAGTTTGAAACACCATGGAATTCTTAGGATCTTGATTCTTAGAAAGGCCACTTAAAATAGTCATGACAATTGAAAATAAAGTCCCTATAGGAAAAGATAAAGAACTTTTCCTTATGGCTAACACCAGCCTGCAGAGGAGGAGAACACAGACCAAAAGGTGTTTCCTATTGCTTTGCTTGGCCCTCTGAAAAATTGGGGCACTTTTTAGGGGAAGAAGAGTATTAGAAAGGTTCATAAATTCCCAGCTATAGGATCTCAAAGATGGTCTAGTTGATGTTCACTGTATGTACAGTGATCATCTGTATTTGCAATTTTGATTTCTATGGCTTCAGTAAACTTCAGTAACTGTGGCCCAAAAATATTAAATGGAAAATTCCAGAAATAAATAATTCATAAGTTTAAAATTGTGTGCTATTTTTAACTAACATGGTGAAATCTCACACCATTCTACTCTGTTCTGCCCAGGACATATCCTGTCCTTGGTCCAATGTATCCACATGATATACACTACCCACCCATTAGTCACTTATGAGATATTTAAATTATCCGATCAACTCTCAGATTATTGAAGTGCTTGTGTTAAAGTAACCCTTGTTTTACTCAATAATGGCCCCAAAGCATAAGAATTATGATGCTAGAAATTCGGATATGACCAAAGAGTAGCCATAAAGTACTTCCTTATAAGAAAAATGTTACCATTATAACAGTATATTGCATAGTTGTTCTATTATATTATTAGTTATGATTGCTATTCTCTTGCTGTACATAATTTATAGATAAACTTTATCATGGGTATGTATGTATCAGAAAACGCATAGTATTTATAAGCTTTAGTACAACCTGTTTCTTGGGATCTTGGGATATATCGCAGACTCTGTATTAACAACAAAAACAATTATCCTGAAGGTGATGAAATATAAACAGATCAGATCTCTGAATTTTCTTATTTTTGTTTGTTTATACAAATATTTAATAAAGAATGAACATCTCAGTCACGTACAAAACTGTTGACTGTTATCCCAAAATTTATACAGATGTATACCTGTATACTTATTTCTATTGATAATAAAAGGCTTACTTGTGCAGAATAGGAACTCAAAAAGATTTTTTTTAATAACAATGATTTTTATATCCACATTGCTGTTATGATCTATTTTATTCCTACTTTTCAACCTTTCTACTTGATGGCAAGGTGGTAGAACTATTTAACATGGGTTATCCAGAAGAGATTTATATTTTTCCCTGTTTCTGAGAGCCTCTTGATCTTATGTGTAAAACTATTTATATTAAGTACAGTTGTTTTTATTTTTTGTGAAAGTTATGGTTTATGTTATGGCTTAGGTCTGAAATGCCACCCTAAAATCTCATGTGTTCAGAGGTAAGGCATTGGGAAAGTGGTTGGATTACGGGATGCTATACTTGTCAGTGGATTAATACATTGGTGACTTCATACTGAATGTGTTGTTAGGAGGTAGGGGCTGGTTGATAGAGGTGTCTCTGGGGACTGACCCTAAAGGGAGCATTCTTGTCCTTAGTTACTCCCTTCTCTGCTGCTTCCTGACTGACATGGACTGAGCAATTTTTCTTTATCATGCCCTCCCAAAATGCTATTTCTGCTCTGGAGCCAGCTAACCATGGACTGAACTCTCTAAAACCATTAGCCAAAACCTCTCCTCTTTTAAATTGTGTTTTTTGGATATTTTGTCCTACTGACAAGAAAATGGTTAGTACGGTCTGTAAAGTTGCTATAAACACTGAACCTTCACTCCTAGAAGAAACACAGAGTTAGTCTGCTATGAGACTGTGGTCAGAGTCAACAGATCAATACATATGGCCATTTTCTTTCCTTTTTTCTTTTTTGTAGTACTGGTGATTGAATCCAGGGCCTTGTATATGTTAGTCAAGTCCTCTTCCCCTGAGCTATGCCCATAAGCCCCATTATTTTATGTGTTTCTGTTTAAGGACACTTATTCAATAATATTTCTTATAAATAATTATATTCAGTATTTCTGTATGTAAAACAATATTTGTATTAATTACTTTTCTCTCCTTGCTGAGATAAAATACATGACACTCAAAGTTAAAGGGGGAAAGGTTTATTTAGCTCCAAGTTTTTAGAGGTTTCAGTTCATAATTGGCTGACTCCAAGGCAGGGTGGTGCATGGCAGAGGGGCAACAGTTCGTGGCAGTGGAAACAAGCAAAAGCAATGAGAGAGGAGAGAGCTTTTCATGATGGCCAGAAGATAGCAAGAAACAAGGGAGAATATGGCTCTTTCTCTCTTTTATAAAGTATCCAGTCTACTGGGATTAGGGTGGTGCCAATCCAATCAGTGGACTGATCCAGCAATCACCCATGTTCAATCCACAGTCCCTTAATCCCAGCATTGTAATACAAATGAATCACACACTCTAGATCCAGCAGCCTCTGAAAAAACCCTATGATCGCATGAGGCTTTGGGGGGATATCTGGACATAAATCATAACATTTTACTCTGGCCCCCTAAAGACTCAAGTACATCCCTTTATGCAAAAGGTATTTAGTCCATCTCTAAGAATTGCCAAAGTGTTAACAGTTTCAGCATTGCTAAAAAGTCCAAGTGTGAAGTCTCTGAGATTTAAGGCAAACTCTGAGCTGTGAGCCCCTGTAAAAAAGAAAAGAAAATTGAACACTTCCAACATTCAGTGGGGCAAGATAAACACTTCCATTCCAAAAGTTACAAACATGGGCATACAAAGGAATGTGACCAAAGCAAGTTTAAAATCCAGCAGGGCAAATATTAAGTCCTGTATTTCCATGCACAGCATCCCAGGCAATCTGTAGCAAGATGTGAACTCCAAAGGGTTTGGGTGGCTCTAACCCTACAGCACTCCCAGTGGTTGTAGCTCCCATGGCTCCTCTCTTGGGTCCACTGTGCTCCCTCCTTGCAGTTTTCCTCAAATGATCCACATTCCTAGCTTTTCCAAACTTCTGGGGTCTCCACTGCACCTTTGGCTTCACACTTACAGCTTCACACACTGCCCTCTCAGGGGCACACTGTCTTGCCTCCTGGGCCTTCTGAAATCTGGGTGGAAACCTTCCTGATTCCACAACTCTTCCATTCTGCATGTACCTAAAACCAGCATCACATGGATGATGCCAAGGTCTGCTGCCAACTGGAGCAGTAGCCAGGCTTCCCTCACTCTGGCTGTAGGGATCCAGTATGTGTATCGCTGACCACTCTGAATGCAATTCTGAGGAACATATTCTCTATGCTGCCACCTTCTGGAACATGGTGTGGTCACCACCATTCTGTAAAAACAGTGCTCTAGGACTTTCTTCTCAAAGCAAAGTCTTTTAGTTCTATAATTTTGATGTTGAAAGGGTGGAGTGCTGCTTCTTCTTGTGGTGCCTTCAGGCCATCTTTTCTATTCTCATGTTCCTTCTTAGCAGTCAAGATCTCTTTATGTAGTCCACAGTTTTACTGAAGCTTTCTTCTGGCCAAACTCACAACATTTTAAATCACTTTTCTGGGCTCTTTGCTCTTGATTCTCAGCATAAATCTGACTAAAGCCCCCAATGGTAGCCATGCCACTGCCTCAACATTAGACTGCCTTGAAATTTCTTCTGCCAGAATAGTCTGCCACTCTTAATCTCAGTCTCATATAAAGTCTCTGGACATAAGCAAAATGCAGACAGACTTGGAGTCCAACAGCCAATGCAGTCCATCCCAGCAGAAACCTGAACCTGGTCTTTAAGTTCTATAACCCTGCTGGTCTTCTGAACTTTGACCAGACTCTCTCATACAGTATAGCCTAACATCTTCCAGTTCTCCTTTTTCAGCTGGCATCTCTGAACCTTTCCATATTCTTCCCAGAAGCCATTCCCAAAGTATCCTGAACCACATGGTCAGGTATGGGCACAGCAACATTCCCACTTCTGGTACCAAATTCAGTCTCAGATATTTTTCTCTCATTGCTGACACAAAATACCCAACAACCCAAGTTAAAGGGGGAAATGTTTATTTAGCTCACAGTTTGTAGGTGTGTCAGTCCATGATCAGTTGATTCCAAGGAAGAGAAACACATTGCAGAGGGGCAATAGTTCATGGTAGTAGATAGCAAGAGCAACAAGAGAAGAGAGAGCTTTTCATGATGGTCAGAAGGTAGCAAAACAACAAGGGAAAGATAAGACTCTTTATGTCCCTTATATGATAACCAGCCTACTGGGATTAGAGCAGTGCCACTCCAATCAGTAGACTGATCCAGCCATCACCCACTCTTAATCCCAGCACCCTTAATCCCAGCATTGCATTGTCAATCAATCATACACTCTAGATTCAGCAGCCTCTAAAAAAACCCTGTGTCTGGGTGGACCTCCAGACACAAACCATAACAATATTTCAGACCAGGCATAGTGACATTTATCTATAATACCAGTACTGTGGGAGGCTGAGGCAGAAAGATTGCAAGTTTGAGCCAAGCCTGGACAAATCAGAGTGTTAGTGAGATCTTCTCTCAAAATAAAAAATAAAAAAAGGACTGGGAATGTAGTTCATGCAGATTCTGAATTCAATACTCAGAACTGTAAAAAATATATTTTTTCCAATTGCAGCATTTGTGTTATTGATCTCACAGCAAATAGCAAATCTCATTCCTGAGTAAATCTTATCTAACATAGGTACTTTCTCTATGAGGAAGGTCACAGCCTTCTGTGCTTAGGAACACTAGATAGTTTCTTTCTTTCTTTCTTTCTTTCTTTCTTTCTTTCTTTCTTTCTTTCTTTCGGTACTGGGAATTGAACTCATGACCTGGCGCTTGCCAGGCAGGCACTGTGTGGCTGAGCTATATCCCCAGCCCCTAAATAGCACTTTAGAGAGCTCAGAAATAGACACTTATCTATAGTGGAAAGCTGAAACAAAAAGTCTGATTGTCACTGCTGTTTGGCTTAAGCTGGAAACTTGTGCACCAGGAGAGTGCACAATTTTTTTCCTCCCTTGTACATGTCTGTGAATGACCAGGAAAGCGTAGGAAGTGTTGACTTTGGGGTAGCAAATAAGTGTTAGCAAGTTTGTACATTCACAAATACAGAAGTACTGGCTTCTACCAGAGTTGAAAGGTAAACATGACACAAAAAGATTAAGGACCCCTGTGCAGTATTCTTTGTCAACCCAGATTCTCCTCCTTTCCTACATTTGATTTCTGACTATGAGATCCTGCCAGGACCTGTTCTTCCACACCCAGAATTCCAGCACCGTGGTGTCTCCCTCCCTGTACCATCCACTATTGTTCAGGCCCTGCCCACATGAGTGAGGCACCTTCTAGTATGTGGCATTATATTTATATCATTAAAACAATAACTTGTGTGGGTAAGATGAAAATGACCAGAGTTTTCTTTTCACTTGGAACAGAGATGAGTTAAAACTTATAATTAAGATGTCCAAAATACGAAGGGCAACAGCAATTAGAAAAGTAAAAATAGATGCCAACTGAGCAAAAACTCATCAGTCTCTGCCTTGTCCAAGATAAAGTAGAAGAAGTGGCCTTAGATGCAGCTGAGCTATGTAGAGAAGAAAAAAATAATATCTTCTTTTCCTTACCCAAGGTTCATGGCTGAGACCCTTTAATAAAGTCAGAGTCACAAGACAAAACATACACATGTATTTAATGTAAGTTGGATGTGACTTGGAAGGCATCAGAAATGAAGATCCGAGGAACAAGTACATCACGTATTTTCATGTTTTGCTGAAGTGTGATTAGAGGACAAAAGGATTCAGTAAATTTAGTCTGATGCTAATAAACATGGCAACTTAGCCAGGCCTGCGTGTCAGATCCTACCTAGGATCCCTGTGTGCCATTCCTTCCCCTGGGCAAACAGTAACACCTGCCACAAGAGGGGCTTGAAGGGAGGAGGAGGGAGAAAGAAGGTCAGGGGGTAAACTTTCTAGGCTTGTAGCCTGCTTCAGAGAAGATGGGTGAGAGGAAGGTGAAAGATGCCATCTTGCTTTTGCTGTTTTCTTAAAAGCAAGATTGCCATATTTTGGGTTGGCATGTCCTGAACCCTGTCACTCTGACACACAGCCCATTGCTGTGCTGAGCTGTTGCCAATGCCAGGCTTGGCTTCCCAGTCAGTGGCTCAGGGGATCTCAGGAGGGGTGGTGCCGTAAGGTTTCTTCTTCTTAAGGGATGGATGTCTCACTTGATAGCAGTAAAAATTCCTGACAAAAGGCCTTGTCAGGAAGATAATAAGTACAAGCACTTCTGAGGGTTCAGAATGCAAATAGCAAGCGCTTACTGAGACCAGGAGAACATTTTTCAGTTTTTCATTTATCGATGATATCTGGATGGTTTATGAGACTTTCCCAGAATCTTTATCTTTATTTGTTGGTAAATTCAGTTGACAGATACGGCAAACCTTTTAAATAATGTCATGCTTCCAGACTTTGATTTTATATCATACCACACAGGGTGGCAATATATAGTGTTAAGAGAAAAGATTTAGGAATCAGACAGAGCTGGGATCAGATCTTTGCACAGTCATATATGGGTTGCAAGACTCTGGGAATCTTACCTGAAATTTTTGAGCCTTAACTTTTTTATCTGTAGTATGGGAATAAAAATATTGCTTGCCATAGTGTCATTTTTAGAATTGAATGACATAATATAGATAAACCTTTTAGTGTAGTACAGTGATTTCATGAAGGATACACTGAATAAATGCTTTATATCTCAAGTTTTGATTACCTTCTCAGATTCCGTGTGTGTAGTCTATTTGTACATGAAAGCTTGCTCAGCTGCTGCGAGCTATAACACAATGTGTCAGGCTTACTCAGGGGACCTTGAAAGTTAACCAGCACCACTTACAAGGCACGAGGCAGGACATTTGCCGTATGGGCAGTGTTATGGTTAATATCTAAGTATCCCCCAAGCACCTCAGCCAGGGCTTTGGGAAGGTGATTGGATTATGAGGACATACAGCCGACTTGCTATTAGGAGCCAGGGTCTGATGGAAAGCAGTGAGTCAATGGGCTGTGACCTGGTAGGGTTGTGTATCACTCCCCAGTGTCCCCCTGCACTGTCTGCTTCCTGGCTGCCGTGACCTCCTGGCTTTCCTCCACTGGAAGCTTCCACCGTGTCACTTTTGCCCTGGAACCAGCTAATGATTATGGACTGAACCTCTAAAAACCATGGGCCAAAATAAACCTCTTCTACTTTAATTTGTTAGTTTGGGGTATTGAATCCCAGCAAGGAGAAAGTGACTAAGACTAAGAGAATTCAAACTTAGTCTCAATTCTAAATGATTTACATTGTTTTGTAAACTGATTTCACAGTAGGAAAGTATGCTGAATTAGAAAATGGTTTAATCCAGAATGTCACTTTTGCTGATCTTTTTGAGACTGGTTTCGTTTTTCAGATCTCATGTGGTAACCAGCCTACTGGGATTAGAGCAGTGCCACTCCAATAGTTCAAGAGAACCTTGTAACCATGCAAATACATAAGAAACCTTTGACCAACCTGTGACCTTCCTAAATTCTTAAATTAAAAAATATTCTGATAGCATATCGTTTCTCCTGAAAATCCAGTGATGACCTGCAGGTAAACAGCATTTCCCAGTTATATGTAACAAAAAACAAGCTATCACTACCTTTCTGAAAGCTACACTGTATGTGAATGCAGAGCCAGGACTGCAGGTCAGGTAGAAACACATATTCCAGGTGGCTTGGCAGGAATTCCCACTTGCTGGGGGCTCCTACCCTCTGGAGGATCCCACTTGCTGAGCACTCGCTTTCATGCATACCAGCATTATAATCTTTAGACTGTACCTTTGGTGCCTCATTCTGTACTTTTCCATTTTGCTTCAGGGGACCTGTATTGAAAACAATGCATATTATTCTTTTTAAATTGTATCTCAGCTGCTGAGCATGGTGGTGTGTGCCTGTAGTACCAGCTGCTTGGAGGGCTGAGGCAGAAGGATCTCCTGAGCCCAGGTGTTTGGGCAATATAGTGAGATCTCCAGCTCAAAAATCAAAACAAAACAAAACAGAACAAGCAAATTTTACAACCATCAAGGGTTGACTTTCCTAGTCACGAAACTATCAAGTTCTCAAATGCCAAGGTCTTTATTTTCTGAGGGTATGTAACAGGTCAATCCAGCATAACCTACAAATAGAGAAATATGGACAAATGTTTCAACTGCCCATTCACGGTGGACCACCGCTTTGGGGGCTGGCTTTCATCAGCTAATTTGAGTAAAGAGGGAAGGCAGTGAGGAGAAGCAAGGCTCAAAGCAAGAGTGGCTTCTCTGTGTGTGTGTGTGTGTGTGTGTGATTTCTAAATACAGGGAAGTGGTGGAGAAATTCTCAAAAGTTGTATGTGTGTGTGATTATGAAGTGAGTGGGTGTGTTGGGGGGAGTTGAAGAAAACCCTCAAAATTTAGCGTTCAGCTGAAGGCTAACTCTAGCTAAGATCTTACCCTAAGTACTGCTTAGCTCACCCAAACCCCACAGCTCTGAGTGCTGCCCTCAGTGGGGGAGAGAGGGAAACTAACCTGCAGTGCAGACTCCTCTCATGACCATGTCTGCAAGTGGGGTCACGCAGTTGGTATTTCTTTTTCTTTTTCTCTATTCACGCAGTCTTCATCCTAAACACAGTCTTCCTTTCCTCCTTTTTCACTAAGTAAATTGAAGTTGGCCCATGGCGGTGTACACCTGTAATCCTAGCACTCTGGGAGGATGAGACAGGAGGATTGCAAGTTCAGGCCCAGGCTGGGCAATTTAGTGAGAACTTTTCTCAAAAATAAGAAAAGGGCTGAGGATGGAGCCCACTGTGAAGGCCCGGGGTTCAGTCCCTAGCCCACAAAAAAACAAAATGAAACAAAACAAAACAAAACAAAACAAAATGCACACCTTGAAAGTGAAAACAGCCCGGCAGGTGTATCGCTGTCAGCTGCACGTGAATAGACAGCCGGCACCTAGAACACAGCCATGTGTCTTCTCTGGGCTTCCTGCTGTTTAAGCTGCTTTCCTCCTTCTGGAGAACTTAGCCCCATGCTTTGCCTGCTCTTAAAGAATCCTCTTTTCTTTATCCAACCCAGCTGAAGTGCTTCCTTCCATTTTGCACAGTCCCCTAAGTACCCATCCAGGTGACCCTCATTGTCCGCCCCCCAGCCCTGCCCCTCTTATCACCCACTTGCCAGATTTGTTGACCCGAGCTGCAGAAGTCTTCGCCTAGCGGACTCCATGTGCTGACAGCAGCATCCTCCTGTTCCGCCGTTCCCGTGTCGCCCCCTTGCCGCCTGTCCGGAGCCAGTGGGAAGCTGCCACCCCTGGCATGCGAGGCTGCACTGGAATGCTCATGCGCTTGGCCAGGCAAAGGAGGGTTTTTGTTATTGAGCTACAATGAATAACGAAGCACTGTCCCTTTGCAATGCCTCTCTACTGTTGTTTTTGTCCAAAATTCCCTCCAGTCAGCTGAGGTAGTAGGAGAGATGGTCGCGATGGTTCTCCTGGGGTTCCCGAGGGATTTGGTGCCCAGGTGAACTCCTGCCTGCAGCAAGAATGTGGGAGCTGTGGTCAGCCGGGACATGGAGAGGATCAGGGTCTAACAGCACGGAAGGCAACTGGTGCTGGCCGAATTCCCCAGGCTGCAACAGGGGTTTGGGGTCCCCTCTTTATAACCACCTAGTCTCACTGACCACTGTCCAGTTTTCTTAAGCAATACACTTCTTTCTTCCTCATCTTCTGTCTTTAAAAATTCTCTCCCCAGGGTGTGCTCTGATCTCTCTTGTATTTGCCAAAAAAAAACTCTCAGATTTTGGAAAACCTGGAGAATGAATGAAGTGCCTACATCCTAAAACTCTCTCCCTGTTGCTGTGCTTCCAGGTGGACACCCTGGAGGTGATACGGCACCCTGAAGAAACCACGAGCATGAAGAGGCAAACTATGGCTTCTTACTTCCGGGTACGGAGTCTCTCGGATCTCTATTCCATCTGCTTCCAGAGGGGACTTGCCAGCCTTCCCATGCGAGGTCTGGGGATGAAGGAGTCATTGCAACAAAGGCAAAGCGCAAGAGCCATTAAGAAAGAAGGTGGGGCGGGGGAGGGACAAGTGGCAGCAATAGCAGAGAGAGACCACCAGGCACACGGCTTGTTCTGTTGGCCCTTGAGCTGCTTCTTGCCTTTAAAGCTACAGGAGTCAGCTGCTTTCCCAGCAAATAATAGTGTAAGAATGACCTTACTTGTCTAGACCAACAAGGGCCAATTAAAAAATATTTTTATCTCTTACAATCACACTTAATAAAATTCCAGAAAGTGACATGTTCCAGAAAGTTTAGATATTGAGAAAAGCATTGGTTTTACTTTCCTAGACTGAACTGACACAGTGCAAAACCCCTTTGCCTGAGCCCTGTTACTGACCACTTCTGCCACCCTAATTTCTGATAGTTCATCTAGTAAAATGCCTCCTTTGAATAAAAACATCTCCAGAAAGGCTCTGCACAGTGCCTGTTATATAGCAAAGATCAGACATATGCTCTTCTGCCAGTCTGCACAGGTTTGTTGATCTTCACATTATTATAAAACCTGAGTGTTTGAAGCCCCTTAGAGACCGTGGAGCACCTCAAGCTGAGAGCCAGGTAGCTTCATGGTAGAGTGGTGCTGTGCCCACGTGATCTCGGGGGGAGCGGAATAAGGATGTAGGGTGGTGCTGGCACAGGAAGGGACTCTGCAGCGCTGGGTGGTCGGGAGGGTGGGAAACTGGGCGATGAGCTGGAGAAACCAGATGGGCTGAGGGGCAGGACCTGGGAACCGGCCCTGTAGATGGAAGGCGTAAGAAGGGTCTGAAGCCATGAAGTCCAACCTAGTCAGCTGCTTCACAGGCAGACTAGACCTGGCGTGTGGTGAGTTGTAGAGGCACCCGACCTTTGAGGCTAGTACTCCACCTCTGCAGCCATCCCCCGGTGGTACCCTTTTTGGTGTGGCTTTCAGTTTCTGCTTTATCACCCAGGTGGCTGACTTTTCCAATTTTTCTGCTCCTATCCCCTTACTGACTGTATCCTCATCCACCTAGTATCTCTGTGTGTGTGTGCACGATGTGCGTGTACATGTGTGTGTGTGTTTCCATGTTTCCTCAAGGAATTTAGAGCCTCTGACTCTGTGAAGTCATCTTTAAGATCCAGGACCACTCCCATTAATGCAGAAGCCTCTGGCTTAGGGGTTTTCAGAAATATACTCATGAACATTAATTTGGTATTCTTAAAATACTGGCCCCCAAATGCTAGATCTGAAAAATAGGCTACTTTGGTAAGCTAGGCAAGAACAGTTTTGATCATGAAGAGGAGTGATTGTGAAAAACATAGAACTCCTTGCCCGTGTGGCTTACCATTGCCCCTGCAGGCCTGCCTGGAGGAAGAGCTTCCACAGTGGGCAAATGAGTGACACCGGGGTGTCCTGACACAAGCACCCCTCCGGGTTCCCATACCTTTCCTCCTCTCTTCTCTCTGCCAGGAATATGCTAGGTGATCTTGATCAGAATCTTTTTCTCCAGTTGTCTTTTACATTCCTCTACCTTGAATAAGTAGTATTACTTGAATTTGCTTAGACTTTCTCGTACTTTGCAGCCTAAAGAAATACATAACCCCTTCCCCCAAGGCTGGGTATTTTAAATTACAGTTTGTATAGTATCATTTTGGATACCGGAGGATATTTCAGGGTAACCTAGAACATATTCTTATCTAAGTTTTCTGCCACATGGAGATACTGCTTGGCTTTAGATGTTCCAAAAGTGCTTTTTTGAGGAGAACTTACACTGCTATCCCTTGTTGCTGATTTCATGTTTTGCCTTAAAGGTCTGAGAGTCATTCACAGACCTCCCAGTGCTCTGAAAGGCCCTGCAGGCCCCCTTGCTGGTAACCTCATTGCAGGTGAGCTTTTCTTCCTGGCAGTATTCTCTGATGGACCTGCTCTCCAAAATGGTGGTTGGACAGCCTCACTTCGTGCGTTGCATTAAACCCAACGATGACCGACAGGCCCTGCAGTTCTGCCGAGAGAGGGTCCTGGTCCAACTCCGCTCCACAGGCATACTGGAAACCGTCAACATCCGCCGGCAGGGCTATTCCCACCGCATCCTCTTTGAAGAGTTCGTGAAAAGGTCAGACCAGCATCCTTGGAAATTTGTTTGTAAATATAGCTGTCTCCTGGCCATCCCTGTCCCCTGGGGTTGCTTCTCCTACACTCTGCTCTAACCTATATTTGGCTAGTGATCAGCTGCCATTTACTTGTGTCAATGTTGTAGTATTTTTATTGTGCTCCAACTACACTGCAGTGATTTGGGGGACAGGTTAAGTAAGCTTCTTTCTGGTCCCATTAAAAAAGAAAATGTCTGTAGATATTCATAAAATTCTTAGTTCTCAACTTCTGCAGATTCTTTGTGGTTCTTTTGGAAATATTCCTTCCTCACCGAGTCAAGCTTCTGGAGGAATTTAATGCACCCAAACACCCACTCCTCTCCTAGGCTCTGGCATGATATAAGAAGCACTTTCCTATCATCTAAAACGTCCTCAAAGAACCGGACATTATAGGGCACTATTCTCCAGCAAATAGTCTCATTTGATCCATAAGACAAAGCAGCTGGGTTCCATTATTATCCCCATTTTACAAGTGAGGGAATTGGTGCACATAAAGAAATTGACTTTCCCAAAGTAGGGACTTTTCCATGATATGAATAAATGGTAAAGCCAAGATTTGAACCCCCAAAGTCTAGCTTTAGGGTCTGCATTTTAATCACCTCAGTTCACTACAGTCAGTCATTTATGAGCATGCACTAAATGCACAAAACTTTCTAAACCCAGAAACTATCTTTACCTGCGAGCGAAATGCTCCTCTTTCCTGCACAACCACGGTACGGATTCCTTGTGTATGCAGTGTGAGTATGGGTTGTATTTGCATAGAATTTTTGTGAAAAAATAATGAACAACAGCAAACCACCTCTGAGAAAGAGGCACAACTGCCTGGCGATGCCCAAAGAGGAATATTACAGCCTATTATAATGGGTTGTAATGGGTCTTTCTCTCACCAGTGTACTTACTATTTTATTTATTTGGTTTTTACTCTCATTCTAATTGAAAGCCCAAGGTCATTTTCCCAGCATTTTCTTGCAGGTAGAATGGATCTTAAACGTGATAGGTTGCTTCACCAAGTCTTCAAACTCTGCTAAATCCCTTGGGAAAGAAAAAAGCCAGGGGAGGAGGAGTGTTCCTTGCAATGAGAGCTTTTAAATAAAAAATAAGAATGAGATGGCTTTTTCAAAAGAACTGTCTCTAAGCTTCTTTTTCCCTCTCTTAAGTTTGGAGGTGGAACAAGAAGAAAAAGATTAGTTTAGCTCATGAATGTAACTAGTCAAGTATTTTTAGCCATGTGGTGTTGAATACATAAAAATACTTAAGAAAACAGGTCAAATGCTAAACAGATTGACACTTCTTTGTTCATAATCAGAAAACCATTAGGCAAGTATGAGCAGGAGTTTCAAAACGTCAGTAAATCTGGGGATATCAAAGATTTTGGAGCCAGCAAGTTAATTGGTATTTTGATCCTTTTGAGCAACTTAACAACAAAATGGGTGAGCTAGCAGTTTTCCCCTTGATGTTATTCAATAAATAGGTGCTTCTTATCTTCCTGCTCAAGAGTGCTGTTTTGTAAACTCTTAGCAGGAAGTATGCAGACAAACCTATCAAAGGCCAGGAACAGAGCCACCGAGCTATCCCAGGTTTATCAAGTGGAGGTAAATAAAAGGTAAAGGCTTGTTTAACGTTGCTCTTTGCCTTTTCCTGTTTTCTGGCATTCAGGCCTGGAACCTGAAAGGTAGTGTTCTTGGGATTCTGTTGTCTCTGTCCAGAATGAGGAGGAAATTCTCCCAAGTCACCAAGTCTGCAAACTCGGTCAAACCTAGCCTGCTTTCTTGCTCTATCAGCCTTGAATTTTCTGGGCAAGATGACTTGGAAGTACCTTTCTTGTCCTCTAGCTATGGGCCTGTGAGGAAGGGAGTGGCTTGACACCCTTTCCTCAGTGGGGCCAGGTGAGTTGGAAGTCTTTTTGTCTGCCCTCAGACGGGCATAGAAGAGGCCACTTGGCCATGCTGGGCAGGTAGCCAAAACCTTGTGAGAGGCAGACTGTTGGTGGGCATCCCAGAAAACCACTGTCTTCACCGGCAGTGCTCACTGAAGCAAGGTCCCTCTGGATGCTGTACAGGAGCAGACACTACGCCTGTGTGTGCTGGGCTGAACCCCAGCCAGTATCTCAGAGGTAGGGACAGGCTAGCGGTTTGTTAAACTGTTAGTGTGGATTCACAATTAGTGAGTGCTGAGCAAGATAGCCACAGAGGGCCAGAGACACAAAGGATGTCATCAGTAGACCAGGAATGCAGAAAAGAGAAGGGTTGTTGTGACTAGGGTATGCTGCAAGGGGGACAATGGGTGAGAGTTTCTGAGAGAGGAATCACAGGGCCATGGGGAAGACTGGGGTTTTATAAAGTTTTGAGGACGAGGAAAAGGGATCTAGGAAGCAAGTGTGTTTATATAAATAATATATTTCTGGATCGTTTGGCACCTTATAGATCTCTCAGAAGCACCTGTGTGCAAGTTGCAATTTTGACAAGACCCCAGAGGCCTTTAGCTTGAGATCCTTAGAACCGAGACAGATGGACAATGGAACCACCATGATCCCATGAAAGCGTTCCCGGGATGACATTTCTACACTCCCTCACATTCAAATCAGATGTCAAAGTCCCTGCTTTCTCCCTGATGATGTGGTTGTCTCACGGACCTGCCTGCTGCTGCCTTGCAGTGTGTCAGTCAACTCTTACTTTGCTCTGTTCCGCAAATGTTGGTAAATTTTCCAACCTCTCACCTGTCTCGCCTTGCATAGCAGGTACCATCCAGTGTTAGGTGTTCATTAAATATTTATTGAGTTGAATCAAACTCTTTCCCCATCTTCTTCATCTCTGTCTTCTTTCACCATCTCCTGACAGACTCTTTGGTCCTTGCTCTTTTGAAGCACATGACAGAGAAGGAGCTGGCTTTGTTGAGGTTAAGCTTCACTTGTAATGCAGTATACAACCTAGCCTAAGAGAGCAGACAATTTCAAGTAAGTCATAGTAGCTCTTTGTTAATAAAAGGCAGACAATCTTTTTTCATTGTTTTTTGTTTTTTGAGACAGAGTCTCATCATGTTGTTCAGCCTGGCTTCAAATTCACTATGTTCATTAAATATTTAATGGCTGACCTCAAACTCATGGCAATCCTCCTGCCTCAGCCTCCCAAATGCTGTGATTACAGGCATGCACCACCACACCGAAGAAAATTTTGAATAGATTTTTTTTTAAAGCTCTAACTCAGTTTGAAAATTATTAGAGATAGCATGGAAGGTGTGACTGTCCATAGACTTGCCTTCCTTCTCTACAAACATAGATTTTTCTGGGAACCTAAAAAGAGACAAGCTCAAAAAGCGGGGGGAAACCTTCTTTCTCTTCCCACCTCAGCTCACACTGCAGAGAACAGGAAGCACTCTGGAGCTGTGTGCACAGCATGCAAAGGCGTTCTCCAGCCGAAGCAACTGGCAGCTTGCTTGCTGTATTAGTGAGCAATCTCTCAATAATGGATGATTGAAACTCAATCCAAACTAGTAAAAGCAAAAGTTAACAGGTAGTGATGTACTAACTTATACAAAGAAGAAGCCCAGAAATACATTCGTACCCGGGCCATTAAACAATTTATTTAGCCACCCGCCTTTTCCTTTTATCAACTTTGTTTTCCTTCTTTCAGGCTTCTTCCCAGCCCAGCAGGGCTGCTTCCCAGGGAGCTCCTCTAAGGGAACAATCTGTAGGGGCAGCAACATCTGCCCCAGTAGTTTCTGAGGCTTCTCCCACAAGGAGCTGTCTGACTGGCCACACTTGAGCCAGTCATTGTGTTCAGGGCACTATCTGCAGGCTCTTGGGTCAAGTGCTAAGGACAGGGTGAGCCCCGCTTGAGCCACGGTTTGAAGGACTCTGTTAAACCAGGCGTGGTGGTGCACACCTTAATCCCAGCATCTGGGAGACTGAGGCAGTGGGATCGCTGCGAGTTTGAGGTGAGCCTGGGCTTCATAGTGAGTTCAAGGCCAGCCTGAGCTGCAGGGTACAGTGAGACCCTGTCTCCAAAATAAAACTAAAAGAAATAAAAGCCAGAGAGGTCTCTGTTAAAGGAAGGGGCAGGATGCAGAGGCTAAAAGAGCCGGCATTCGCAGCCTTTGTGAATTGACCATTTCGTGCCCTTGAGTCAACTGTAGTAGTGTAGAGAAGTCCGCCCTGCTCAGGATCTACATGCCTATAGAAAGAAGTCCTTTAATTTAGACTTTTCTGTGACAAACATTTTGTTGACAACACATAGATGTTAACTTTACAATAAGGACCATATACATTTTACCATATTTTAAGTTAAGCTTAGGGGTTTTTTTTTGTTGTTGTTGTTACTTTTAGTTTTTGCAACTTTACATACTATGCAGTGTGTTACTGAAAACAATTTCTAACTCCCATAAGGGATTAGAGAAAACCCAATCTGATCTGACTCAGTTTGAGTTCTTGCAGTTGGTATATTTCTTTGACCCCCTGGGTGTGGTTCACGTGTTCCTGGTCCATGATATTCATGTTCCATGGAGGACCCAGTTGGATGTCACTTTCCTACATCAGGGTCTCTCCCAGCTGCTACTTGTACTTCAAGCTTAAAAGTCTGTAGTAAACTGCTTTACCCAAAGAGACTGCTTTCTGTTCATACTGCAAAATTCTTGCCAGGTATGGTGGTACATGGCTGTAATCCCAGGATTTGGGAGGCTGAGGCAAGAAGATAGCTGTGAGTTTGAAGGCAGCCTGGACTACATAGTGAGTTCAAAGTTGTCTTGAACTGCATAGTAAGACCCTATCTCAAAAACAAAACAAAACATACTGCAAAATTTTTGCCATTATTTATCATTCTCTTCATAGTTTTCTTTTTATTTCCTTGCCCCTACATAATCTCTACATTAAGTTGTTGGCCAGCTGCCTCTGAATTTTGAATTCAGCTTCTTCTTTCTGCCTGTTTGAGGCAGTAAAAGGAAAATCCCTGTTCCTTTTAAAAGAATTTGT